TCTCATCTTTTTAAGTGGGAGAACTTGCACAATTGGTGGCTGACTAAATACTTTGTTGCCCCACTGTGTGTAGGTCATTTAAAGAAACATGAACAGCACCAGTATAAGGGTTGTGCCATCTACAAGACTATAGGCAAGAAAGAGGTAGCCCATGAACATTTCTGAGTCTAGTTTTTCACGCTTATTTGAAAAGGGTTGGGATAGAGAAAATATTCCACAATGGAATAAATTAAGGTTTATGTCAAGACAGGAACTTCAGAATTTGGGCTGTTAGTGAGAAGGTTCTCTTTTTCAGGTTAAGAAAGTCCTATAGGCCTAGCTGGTGATTGCTATTACTAAGACTTCTAAACTCAGATTGAGGCAGTTGTTTTTTAAAAAGTTCTGACATGCTGAGCTTTGTCTGAAACTGATTGTTCTGATTTTGAGCTCAATGTTATCACTGCTACAATTCAAGGGCTATGTCTGCTGTGTATATCTGCTTGTACCACAGTCATATATGCCATACCCAATGGTAATTGGGGGAGGAAGCCACCCTTTCCTCACCTAATTTGTAGCTATTCCTTTCTAAATTCCTGCTTTCCTGCTCTTAATGATACGTTTAATTAACTTGTAATGCTCTTAAAAGTGAAGAAGTTGCAGTCCTTTAAGAACATTGCTGAAAAGAAATGAACGGTGGCATTAGCAAGGGAAATTTGTATTCTGGTCCTCGCTGCAAATGGATGAATAGTGGGCCTATGATGCCAACAGTTTGCCCATTTATGTTTTGTAGTTACGCATAGAAACTTACCTTCATGACAAAAGGGCCCCCACTGTCACCCTCACAAGCATCTCCTCTCTTGCTATCTTCTGGACTATAACCTAAAAAAAAAAAAAAGCAATTAGTACAGGCTGCACTCTCCTTTTTCCCCCCTGTTTTTCTCCCCTCAGCTTTTAATGTAGTTCCTGAACTAATCAGTTTGATACTTAAGAAACAGTATGCTTCATTTGCTGCAATGGCTTACTTAAATTTATAAACCTAGGTTTACTTTTTTTAATTGGGGTTATTTTCAGCTGGGTTCACTCTAGATCACACCAAACGCTAATTACTGGTTGTTTTCTTGTTCTGTGTGAACACAGACAATGCCGTTGGTTTGGCGGTTAGTACGCAGAAACTCCATGACTTTGTGAGGTGTTTAGCATGTTTGCTGTCATAAGATATACAGGCTATCACGGTTTAAATGATCAATCTATATAGAATGGTTTCAAACATGTTAACATCAGAAAATGCTATATTTAATATCAGCTCTTCAATTATTATTTTTATTCCGAGGCAAAGTTTTACATATTTTAGCTAAAACCATTTGGCTAAGAGTCTAGAAATGGTTTCTTTCAATTCACCATAATCTTGTGAGGGCTTTATAAAATGATGGAGTAATGAAAGTCATAAAGAGTTCTTCTATAAGGGAGAGGGGCGGTCTCTAAATATGATAAAATAAAATGCAAATAATATGGCAGAAAATTGTTCATTTGTTTCATGTGAGATGCTCCAGAGATTTTTTTTCTATTATAAACCAGCTCATTATGATATAACTTATTTAAACCAGAGTGAGTTGCTAGAGAAGCTTCATTTCTGGTTTATTTATAAATAAAAAAGCGGATGTTGCTTTGCCAAGGGAAATGCACTGTATGAGTTTTTGCCGGTTAGTCTTGTTCAGCCTAACTACCTGATGGTCACAGAAGTAAAATGGAGATTTTCCATTTAAGCCGCTTGAACTCTTGGAGGAAACGAGAGATAGAAATCTAAAAAAACACTCTCCAAATTAGAAACAATTTTTTCACCCTTATTTAAGTTTTGTTTAGGATATATCCAAGGCAGCTTAAGTTAAGAGTATGGTTCTATACCACAGATGTCAGGCTCGATCGCGTGACGTTTTTTGCCTTTGCGGAACTGGGCTGGGCGTGGCCTATGCATGATGCATCCAGCCCACGAGCTGCCACCCCTGTTCTACACTGATGTGTGCCATTTCCTAGAGGTAAGGGAAAAAGATGTGAGAGGTTCTATGTTGTACAGTGTTGTAATTTGGGAGTCATAACGGTAGGTGAATTAGAAGGATTCTTTTGCCTATTTATCCACTCAGTGTCCATTACTGATGTATTTATATTTGGAAAAAGACACTCAGTTATTACATTTGCTCACTGTAGAGCAAAGGAATGGAGGCCGTAGTAGTAACAGGATGACAGTTGATAATCTTCCCTCTCATACAATGAAAATAACTTTCCTTTGTCCTATTGATCGACTGCTATTCCTTACATGGTGGGCGTTGAAAGCTGTTATTTGATCAGTACCCAACTGCAAACACAAAGAATCATGCCTACTTCTGCCTCAGCATCAAGGTCCTAGGAAAACTCACCTGCACAGAACATGTTGTCTGTGACTTTAATATTAGTGGATGCCTTACAGATGTCCCTGTTCACAATGGGGAGATTCACCTCCTGCAGCACACTGGGCAGTTGTCGCGTCCCTGCACCCCAGGTGTCAAACAGATTCCCCCAACCAGTAACACGGCCTTTATATCCTGATAACAATAGGCTATGGAACAAAAGTGGAATTGATTAAAAGATTCTGGAGATACTAGAGTGAGATAGATTAATATAAATAATGGAGATAGGTGCATCATTAAAACAGATCATTTATATTTGCCCAACTTGGGCAATATATGATGACCTTCCTCTTGGTCTCCCCCCACCATCTGAATTGTTTGGCAGAGACCAAGTTATGACAGGAAGAATAAAAGTCAACCATTTCACTAAGAACTGGGTGAAGAGATTGTCTGCAGAAATCACAAGAAGAAAAGGAAAGATTCAGTAAAAATAAACAATTTTAGAGCACACTTGAGTATTTTGCTCATTGCAAATGCTGCTCAAATCTTGAACTCTCCCACGCAAGTTCTCTTTTGCTCTGAAAATAGAAAAAAATTGCTTTTCTGAAAATGTGAAATTACACTTCCATCTGCTGCCCTACAACCTAACTCCTTTTTCAATATTTCTGACACTATGAATTCCTTCCTCTATATTTCTTGGTTCTTTTCTACAGAACAAGTGAGAACTCTCCAGTTTGTTCAGCAGTCCCAGGGAGTTTTTCTCTTGCAAGCGTTTTGTAGCTAAAAGACTTTCAGCTAAGATATTTGAGCTCTTTCATTGTGGTTCTTGGATCTTCAGCCACATCAGAGCTAGATGGTGGGAACTCTGGCATAGCTCAGTCATCAAATTTTTCTATTGGTCAAAAAAGTCAAAATGGTGTCCATAACAATTGTACAATTGGTCTGCCGTCATGCTTTTTTATTTTGATCTGCAGAGGCCCATGGCAGAGTTCAAATTCATACTGTGTCAATGGATAAAGAAGATGGAATCTAGATATCAGAGAATGCTTCAATCCACAAAGTTGCGCAGAGTTCATTACCAACTATGTATGTTGGTATGGCATGCTGTAAACATCCTGTAGAAAATGTCTCTTGGATTTTCTCCAGTCAACATAATGAGCTAACACAAATCAGAATTGGAAGTGAGATAAAATTGTAACACAAATCAGATAATTTGAAGCCGTATCACATTGTTTGACAGCCTAACAATGTACTGATGCAAGCAGGACCAATAATCCTTTGTCATCATGCCTAGCTGTATTCCAAGGATATTTGAAACCATACATTTTGCATTTGACAGTGATGATCTTTTTCAGACAAAGGCCAGTGAGAAGTTCAAACAGATGCAAAAGCTCTGCATTATTTCTTAAGGATGCTACCACTTATTACCATTATTTCTTTCCTTGAAGATGATATTGGTGCCGAAGGGCTAATACTTCCTACAGAATTCTATCCTTTTGTCTCACAGAGGACTCAAGACTTCTTAGATTTTGGTTCCAGCAATTCTAACACAGTTAATCTATGGATGCCTCTTGCATCATCTTTGGCTTTATTTCTTCCAAGCTAGTGGATGTGAATACTGATTTTCTTATTTTTTGTTACCCCTAAAGAAGCAACTACAGATTGCTAGGAGTATCCTTGGTGTTCTCTGAGCTTGATTGTTTTCTTGAAAATCTTTCATTGCTCAACTAGACTAACCTAGATGGCACTGAAGAAATTTCCTAGTTGGTAATGAAACAGCTCAGAGTATCAAGAGCTCCACAGTTCAACCCTGAATTACAAATACTCTCTTCTAGTGAGATGGTTAGGGCCTAGAAATTATTATTAGTAGTTATGGAACTGAATTTCCTATTATTTACTTGAATATCACATAGTGCTAAGCCCACCCTTATTGCCATTCTTTGAAGAGAAAAAGATAATTGGGCTAGGGTTCTCAAATCTTGCCATCCCATATTTTTTACCTTTAGCTTGTTACCATCCCAAAGTGGTATGGGAGCATTCATCTTGTGGACTGTGAGATTTGAATTTATTGAATGCATCAGATGGTTGCTCTGACATCCATTGAATTCCTGCTTCAGACTAAATTGGCTAGCTTCCCCTGAGTTTAACACATTCTTGCATAGCTATTCAGCCCAATCATTACTGCTTCCTTTAATGTGTGTGATAATGAAGTCTTTATAATTGTGTAAACATTTAAACACCTCCGCACATTGGCTGTTTATGATGTGCCCAAATTTAGTTCAGTCTTTTTTGTAGCTTCCAATCTTTGCATTATCATGCCAGAATCACAAATTGCTCATTCGGGGTCCTGCCATTTATGAGCACCTCTGAATATCTGCAAATATTAAATGTTCCTTCCCAGAGACTGAATAATACTGCAATCCTTCCTGATTGCAAGAGAGTGAAAAGATTAGGAGGACAGACTCTGTTGCCTGTACAAAGATCAAAGTGCTGGGCAGTGGCAAGATGCCAGGGGAAAAAACCTCACAGACATTCCAGTATTGGTAATTGAGATAAGGAGTAAGAAGGCATATAAATTACAAAAGGAAAGTGAGAGAAAGTGACATGAGAGGGAAGAAAATTAAATAAGATAATAATTATGTTTTTATCCTATTGTGTAAATACATAGAAAAACATACTGATTTTGTATATAATGCATATGAATCTCAGAATCATAGGGCTAGAAGGGACTTTGGAGGTCTTTTAGTCCAGTATATTTACTTGTATCTAATCATTAGATACAATAATAATTTAATAATAATAATAATAATAATAATAA